ATTTTCCAATGACAAATAACGCGAAAAAATATTTCGAATAAACGCGATTCTCACAGTAAAAAGCTTAAAATAGAGTTAAAACCACAGTTTTTGAATAACAACGCTAGCGCTTGGAAGGGATTTATATACATATATAAAGAACAGAGAATTTTATAAATTTTCCACGTCTGATTTAGTTCTACTGAGCGCGCTTCGACGATAACGGAAAAAAAGCGCAGTGCTTTGTAGGCTGCATCTTGTTCTCTTTATCTCCGTCAAGCGTCGCTGCTATTCATACTAAAATATCGTTTCAACTACATTGAAATGCTTTACTGCGAAGACGCTTTTCGATAAAGTAGGTGTCGATAGTTAAAAATTTCGTACGTCAGAGAGATCATATATTGGCAAAATCATTATATAATCACTAATATTTGTTCAATATAGGTTTCAATGCAATTTTTTAAAATCATAAAAAAATATACAAAAATGAAATTATAAAACACACCAAAGGTACTTAAAGAAAGAAAAGTGCACAACTTATATTTCTAACATTCTTATTGCATAAGAATGTTCAGACCTGAATTTAACGGCTCTTCACATTTGGTATACCAACGAGATAAGGTTTTATGAACCTCATAACATTTTGGTATTCCTACTTGTGCAACGAAAAACAAATTCAGTAGGCGAAATGCGGTCGATATTTTAACAAGAATTAAAATGTTATAGTTGAATCTAAATTATTTCTCATACCCTGTGTTTTGAAACACTACAGGGTACAAAAATCTGAACAATTACAAAAATTATTATATTACTTTTTTGTCTTTACAGAATACTTTTAATGTAAAATGTGTTAATTAAAATGATTTCCCGAAATACGAACTTTTGCAGAAGTTATAGGGACCAATACAGAGTTACATATAGTACATTCAAATTTTTAAACTTAAATTATTTTCCAAAAAGTTCGTTCCATCGTGGTCTCAGAAACTAAAAATCTAAAATTTATTTCGATTTTCTAAGATGTTTGATAATTGAATTACTTTCAGTGTAGCAAATTATTTTTTATTGTCACAGCTTTATATCACATCTTTTTTAAGCTTCTCAAGTTAGTTTTTTTGATGGTGTCCTGGTCTCATGAACAATGAAATTTTTTCAGGTAATTTTTAATTGCCAGATAAAAATAATCACTTTAATTTATAGGAGAGGAAAATAGCTAAACATGAAAAGAAAAGTGAAGCTAGCCCAAAGTTAGGCATTTGGAGTCAGTTGAAAATTGAGACATCTTTACCAGGTTACAACTGGCAAAGTGACGAAAGTAAAGATCAGAAGCTCCCCATGCATCAAAGTGTTTACTTCTTCCACTCTGAAGATTCTAGACAACGGAAATCAGAACTAGATGCAGTCTACAAATTATATGTGCCAGAAATCCATGTGGAAAAAAGGTTCAAGTTACTTCTTACAGATGAAACTATTAAGTATTACAACATAATGGAACTTATGGGGTTATACAATACTTTTGATATACCATCCTCTGATCAGAACCAGATGTATAATTTAAATTGGGAAATAATGAAACAATCTGCTAAGAGAAGCCTTGAAAAGAAAGAAGAAAACGACTCGTTACTGCCCAATTTTTTGCCCACATTTCGACCATTTAAATTTTTTGACAATCCGATGAGGTCTCTGTCTTTGTATGAATGTGAAAACCTAAGTGATAAATCTTTTTTAAAAATAGGTATTGGTGACTGTACATCAAATTGGCTTCGTTTGATGTCTTGGTGGAAAGATGTCAATGATCATTTACCTATTTCCGAATTATGTGTTTATCAACAACTGAAGGCAGCAAAAGATCATCCTGATTTATACAATGAAGACGAATTAGCTGAAAGCATTGAAATACTTGAAGATTTGCTAGAAAGTCTAGGTATGTCACATGGCATAGCAGAACTGTCAGCTCTCCATCATTATATACAGTTTGACATGTACATTCCTGATAGTGGCACATGGCTCCCAACTTGTAAGCATGATACTTTATTTAGTAACATTGCTGATGACGCAAAACTGGTGGCTTTTATGTCAGCATGTGGCTATCAAAGCATACAGATAACGTTCGATGTTATGACAGTCCTCGATAAGACTAAGGAAAGCGATTTGATTAAAGAGACGGAAATGGTATTCAAAACATGTATCAAGCATTTTTATTACGACGTCATCCAGTCTTTACAAATTGCAGTAAGTTACAGCGATTTTGTCCCTCCAACATTAGGAAAGATAAATGACAATTTCCGACAACTATTCAGAGAAATGAGAACGATTGGGCATCAAGAAGAGTTCATCAAGTATCCGCTGCAAATTGCCACTAATATCTTAATACGGAAGGTGTGCATGTTGGGCGATATAATAACCAACAGCCAGCATATTAAGAGTTTTTTTGGTGACGCTAACACTATGCAAATAGCACAGTTCATTTTAAAATTCATTACTGCAGTAACTCAAAATGCAATGTTAATTGTTTACAAAGTGTTTCAAAAAGATTTCATTACTAATGATTTGCTACTTGAGATTTGTAACAAAGATTCTAACATACCTTGTGCATATTTGTTTGATATTAATTGCATTAAAGTCGCTTATTGTATATTAGTTACATATAAATTTATGTACAAGAGAAGCACTTTTCCAGAAAACTGTTTTAATTTGGCATCAGATTATAGATGGCAAGATTTTCGAACATTTCTTGATGAAATGGGAATTTTTTCTGATCAGGGAATCACACGAGTACAAAGCACATTTCAGGAGGCCACTTTAAAGCTACAAACGATCCAAAACAAAATGTGTTGTGAGCTGATGGAAGAACTGAAAGACATTACTTTTTTAGCAAAATGTTCTAACGAAATATTACAAGCTGCAAAATATTTTTAATACTTCTTCAGTAAGTTTCGCGTCTCAGAATATCTGAATAATTACATCATTTGTTTTAAAGAAAATTTAGGCCCTGATAAAAAAAAAATAAATTAATATGATTATACTAGCACATGTGAAATGTGTAACTATTAAAAAGTTTCTAATATAATGATCTTTATTTTCCTATTCTATTTACATATCAAGAACAGAATTTTAGTAAAACGAAAAAAGTATTTTTGATGGCGCAATGTATAAATTAACCCTCATCATTCTTACAATTAACAAGTTCAGCAAAGTAATCACTTTTAGAAAATGAATTACAAGTTCAATAAAATAAATTTAAAAAATGAATTGTAATTCTAAAGAAGAGATTAACATTATAGACTAAGACAGGACATGCTCCGTAACACTTTTGGACTTGCTCTTGGGAAAAGAAATTTCTGGCCGTAGTATTTTTGCACTAGAGTATGTGATCAAACTTACTCTATTGGTGCCACTATATCAGTTAACTTAATATATAATTATAATAATATGTGTAAACCTTTTTTTCCTACAGAAGTTCCGATAATTTGAACTTTTCCTGGTTGCTCTCTAGCATAACAAACCAGTTTTTTTTATGTATTTCAACAAGCCAACATTCAGATGCGAGTGGATTTACCAGATGTCAAATGGTCAAAGGCTTACATTTTTGATTAAAAGGCATTCATAGTATAATAACTGAAAATAAATGAGCAATTTAATAAAAATTTCTCAGAGTGAACTTTTTAAATATTAACAAGCAATTTTCCACATGAACTATTTATATAATTTTGAATGATTTCTTGTATTTCAATACTGTAAATAAAGTAACATTTATGTGCATTCTAACAAGTAAAAAAATGTATGTAGTATTTTTAAATTTATTCTTACGTGTGAGTTATTCATTAAAAAAATTGTATTTACAAACAGGAGTGTAGTGTTACCCAAGTGAGTGTGTTATGTAGAGTTCATAATAATTCGATAAAGCAATGTGTTACTGTAAAAAATTATTAGTTCTACTATTGTTATAGTAATTTCCAGCTATTCAAAGGGAAAAAAATTATGGTTGCTCTTTCCCATTGCTACTTTACACCTATTTGCAAATTATTTCCCAATTTAAAAAAAATATGCAATGAGGAGTAAACTCACTCATCACACTTACTTTTTCAGTAAGAGAAGCATATTCTTCAAAATATGCTACCAATTCACATTAATTATAAGTTTTGGTTTAAAAGAAATAGTGTTGAAAGAAAGTATCAATACTCAGCACTAACACAAACATATTGATACTTGGTACTTTATAGTATTGTGAATAATTTTTTTATTTATAAATATTTAAGCGTATCGTTACTGATTATAATATAAATCAATATTGATTTATATTTTAGTAAGTTCTATTTTACAGTGTTAATAATTATACAACAGATTGTAAAAGCAACAGTTCAAACAAAACATCTCCTAAGAAAATTGGATTTAGCTTATTGTGGTTAGGTTAAACTTAAATTTAAGTATTTACCTGTAAGAAAAATTTATGTAAGAACTATATTCAACTTGTGGAAAATAAGAATATAAAATTTCCTTAGTAATAATGTCTAATTTGTTTCTAAACACAATTTTAACTACAAGTCAACTAGTCATATTCGGCTTCCTATTTTGTGCTTGTTCCTGCCACATAAATTATCAAGAACGAAAGTAACAAATGTAAATGCTCATTGAAATATAATATACTATTAGTATAATTAAAAAAGTCAGAATAAAATTTTTTTAATGCTATTGAACGAAAGCATTAATATCAGTCCATACTATTCAATGAAGAAACATTAGCATTTCAATAACATTAATACTTTTTTTTTAATGTTATCAAGCATTGGCTGATTTCTTTAAGTATATGCTTATAAATTAAAAATGCTGAAATATAATATTAAAATATATTTTCAAATATGATGGGAAAAAACAATTACCGTTTACAGTACATTGTAGTAAAACTAATCATTGACATGTATGAAGTATATCAAAAGGCTTCATTCTCATGATAAACTATAAATAACTGAAATTAGCACGATAACTATATGTTAGAAAAATGTTATTAAAAATAGCTCATAATATTGAAATAGACACTTTTATTAAATTTAAATACACTTATGCAATGAAACAAATCTGGTAACATTCATAATTACAAAATTTACATTATTTTTAAATGTCAATCTCTGTTTTAACACATCAAAGTAGTAGAATAAGATGATTTCATGTTTAAATATCTTACTGGTATAAAAATTATAGCAGATATGTGGTATAAGCAAAAAAAGAAATGATCAAAGATATTCACAAAAAACAGCTCTCTATAAATTAAATGTAAAATACGCCTACATACTACAAAAGGAAACAAAAAAGAAAGATGTATAAATATGGAACATTTTTTAAAAGTTTTATAAATAAAATCTCTTAAATTGATATTTAAAAATTTTCAATCAGCAGAAAAAAAGGTTAATTCAACGATAAACAAACTTATTTTTAAAATAAGAAATAAAAATTATTTCATGTTTGCATTTGCTTATTACAAAATATAAATAATTAATTTTAAAAATATTTTTTAGAAGCATACATCATTTAAGAGAAAAAATTTGAGTAAAGTTTTTCTTTTTCGAATGATTTTACTGGCTTAAAATATCTAATCTCTTATAATTTTAATCTCAAACTTTAACGGGAAGAATTTAAGTACATAATTTTTCATTTTGTGTAACAATATAATTATACTTTGGCTTAAATTAGGTAATAGATAAATTATTTAATTTACATAACAGTAATGCTTACAATTAAAAATACAGCATAGCATAAAATAGCTAAGTGGACATTTTTATTAAAAATTAGAAAACAATCTACATTATATATAGATATAGTTTCTTTCTTTTACATAATTTTTTTGTAACTCAAATTTTAGATAAATAAGAATTAAATATCTAATGATAAATCTTAGCAATTGCATGCCACATAATCTAACATTATAGTTAATCATTATCAATTAACAACGCAGAAAAAAAATAATGAAAAATATTGAAATAAATAAGTTGGACCCATAATTTAGTCTGGCAGAAGTTTGATTAACAATGAAAAATTACAGAAATTATTTTCTATTTATCACACAATATGCAAGAGCAATTCTATTTACATTTTTTTACTTCTTTTTTTTTGAAAAGCGTGCAGTTTATTCCAAAGAAAAGTTTTGAGTATAATCATATTCAATAGTTGGAATGACTGCTTGCATAAATTTCAAGAAAATGATTATATACATGTGCACACCAAGTTCTCCACCACCCTCGGTGACAGTGTGAATAATTTTCTTCATCACCTCAGCATGTCTGAATAAAAATAATAAATAAATAAATTTTTCAGAATTAATTTCAGAACAATAAACATCACACATAAGTATGTAAAGTATTTCATGTAATCAAATAATAAAGTCTTACAGAATTGCTTTCTAAGCTAATTATAAAGTGTAGCAGAATTTTTTTTATACAAATATTTAAAAGCTATAGTATTTTTATTGTTCATGAAAAACTATTACCTTTATATATTTGCAACTAATTTATTTTAAATAGAAACCACAGTTTTAGTAGGTCATAGGTTGGTAGCATAAATATATTATTGGAAAACATTTTAAATTGTGACACTTATAAATCCAAAATGCACAAAAATATAATGTAATAAGATGAATTTAATTTAAGGCTTAAAATTAGGAGAGAATATCTTGCTCAGAAAGAATCGACAAAACGCATAGTTTAACAATAATATTCCATAATAAAAATTAGCAGTGGTACATTCTTTTAAAAATTTATTTGTATTAATAGTAAAAATTAGTTCAATAATTTAGTTTAATAATTAGTTTAATAAAATTGTTTAGTTATCACCAGAGTTGGCTAGTTCAAACCAAATTTTTTTTTTTAATAATATTTTTAAAGTTCAATTTTTATTATTTATATAAATAGTTTTAACTTGAAAACTAAATGAAAAAATATTAAATTTTTCCACTTTTATGTTTAAATGCTAATAGCAGTATGATTTTTTTTTTTTTAAATAGACACAAATATATGATTTTTAAATGTTTAGATTTCCTGCAAAAATATGGATAAAAATAAATTAATGTGAGCAATATGTTCTAAAAATGCTTAATATAAAATAAAGCATCATCAAATCCATTTTCTAATTGCCTTTAAAATTAGTTGAATAATTTAATTGTTGAAAAAGTTAAAATAAAAAAGTAAGAAAACTTTTTTGTATCTTGTTAAAGATTCAGGCTTGACTAATTTTTATACTTTTAGCAGTTTTTTCTATTATCAGTGTAAACAAATTTGTATTGTACCCATTATGATTTTGTTCCTTTTTGTAATATTTTCAAAATGCACTTTTTTGTATTAAAAAAGAATTCTAACAAAAGATATTCAGAATTCACTTATGATATTTTCATTGTAATGCTGCATTATGTTAATAAGCAAATTGCAGGTCTTGAAGTGGGCTATAAAAAATTTAGAACACTTATTGGAACAGTATACATAAACCAGACTATTTTTAAAAAGAGCAATTAAAAAATTATAATTTGATCTACTTAAGTACAATAACGGCAAATTTTATCACAAAAAATAATAAAATGTATCATTTTTAATTCCCGACTTAATTTATTCTGAAATTAAAAAGTTTTAACATTTTTCCCCTAGTAAAATGCTATTAATGGAGCATTGAGCAAACTCATAACAGTTTGAGATCAATATTTAGGACATATTAATGATACTATTGCATTAAAAAAGTAATTAGCATTAAATAGTTAATATTCTTTCATACCAATATACCATAAAATTTATAACCGAGTTCATAATTTCTTTAATGAAATAATTTTAAGTGGGGTTTCAATAATTTAAAAAAGAAAACACAGTGAAGATGAGTCTTAGCATTTGTGTTTAAAAGTAATTTTTTGGGTGAACCATTAATTGAAATAAAAAGATATTCGATGAAAGTTCCAAGATTTTTTTGATTATTCAAGCCGATTATTTTAAGAAGTGCATTAGTATTCATTGAAAATTAGACGTTCTGAACACACACAAATCAGAAATATATGGACAAAAAACTAAAGAACAAATAAGGATAAAATATTTTTTAACAGAAAAATCAAAAATTTCAGGACAACTACGAATTCTGATATTAGTAAATTTAAAGCTCGTATCTTAAAATGTAAGAAAAAAAGTAATTTATACTTTATTTACTATTAAAATTTCAGGACAACTACGAATTCTGATATTAGTAAACTTAAAGCTCTTATCTTAAAATGTAAGAAAAAAAAGTAATATATAATTTATTTATTATTAAACTATCAGTCAAAAATTTACTTTTACTGTTTATATGTAATCCATGTCATTTTTATACATTTTCATCATTCCCTTATTTTCAAGTACTTTTTTAATTACTTGAAAGTCTATATATAAAACATAGATGATAAATTGCATTAAATATATTAACATTTTTGTCGATTCTATGGAGTAGTAACAAACAAGAAATGTATATTTCAATAAACTTAATTAATATTATGAGTTGTATACAACAAAGTAATAATATTAATTAAATAATATTGAGGTATAGCATTTTTATATTACAGACAAGCAGGGATCACTTTTTATATTACTATGGTAAAATAAATTTTAAATAGTTCATGAAAAAAGGAATTGTAAAGTAATATATTCCAGAAACAAAGGTGGATAGTTTTGAATTGTCTATTGAAAATATTAATTAATAGTTAAAAGGAATTGTTAAATATTCTGAAATACTTTAGAACAGTTTAGTTAATTTCAATTAATGGCTTATATATATGTGTGCGTGTGAGAGTCTGTATAAAATATTATTCAACATAATGCTTTGAAAAAAGGAAAAGGTTTAAATCTAAAAAACCTGGTTTAACTAAAAAAAAATTTTTTGTTTTTCAACTCTATTTACCATGCATAATTAAAAATGCATGTTTTAAGCCTTCATACTGAATTAGGTACACGGAAACCGTAGGGAAATCTTTCATTAATCAATCTTAGATTTCCCACCAAGGATTGTCACTATTTTAGACTTAGATTTTAAATATATTATTTAAATATCATAATTCTGTACAAGCAATTTAAAGTAACAATAGAAATTTATGTCAAAAAAATCTATTTCCAATAATAATAAAAACATTACAGAACAAAACAGAAGGCTTTAGTACTATGCAAAAAACATAAAAAACCAACAGGATTCGAGCTATCTTCATGTAACTTCTAGAAAAACAAAATTTCACCAAATAATCATTTGTGTAACCTCATACTAGGTCTACTGGAAAGTTCAATCTGATAATTTTGTTTCAAGTTTGAATTTAATATGCATGCACATTTTTTTAAAAACCATGCCGGGATAGCCTGGTTGGTAGGGTACTGGACCCATGTCCAAGAGATACTGATCCTCTGGGGATACTGATCCAGGAGTTTCCTTGTCTTCTGGAGTGGTTCATAATTACAAGGCTACGGAGTTGATCATTAGTAGTCGTCAACCCAACACTGGGTCGGCTGTTCAACGACGGGGGAAAAAAAACACGCATGACAATATTTTTTATAATTGAATTTATACACATGTGCCCTTTGAAATTAAGTATAATAAAGACATCTCATGTTATTACTAAGTTGGAAGCAATTGCAAAAGCAAGGTTTTTGATGAAGTTTATTTAAAACACTGTATGTTATATGAATTCTAATAAGGTAGAGTCCTATGGGCACCAGTAGTAGAGGCAACAAAGGAAATTATATAGTATATTGTAAATATATTAAAAACTGCAATATTTTTTCCTCTTCATAAATGAACTTAAAACGTAAAAAGGAATGAAAATGAACAGTACCTGCAAGGATGAACTGATGCTCTGGGGGGACCAGGTAGATGAGGATGACTTTCCATGGTAACAGTTTTCTTTGCATGGTCTTGACTAATGTCTTCGTACATTTCTTCAATTGTCAAGGGTTTCCGATTCTACAGAATAACTTTGATTAGTATGTTTAAAAGCATTCCACCTATAATCTCAATAAACAACTTTAACAAAGTAATATGCAGTCAAGCTCATTTATTGTGACTGTTGAAATGAAATCACAGATTTAAGAAAGAAAGTATCTGATTTATTTTGAAGTAGAATTGAAATTGTAAAAATGTTATTTTGAGCGAAAGTTCTTTTGCTCAAAAATCATGTGTGGATAAGCAATTATGATTTACAGAGTGTTTCAATTGTTGTGTCATGAATTATGGGGTTATAGCACAGCAAAGAAACAAAAAAGAGAAATTGTGAATTGTCATTGCAATGACTAACAGAAGATGCTGTTATATACAAACCATCAAATAGATTCTTTCATTTGCTGTTTTAATTACTCATGTGTGTTCTTTTTTATAATTAAATATTAAAGAATTATAAGTTTTTAATGTAGCATTAATTTTATCAACATAGATTCAAAGGAAAAAAAACCGGTGTTCATATTCAATTGGAAAACGGCATGAAAATGCTTTATAGTGGTTGAAATTATTTTTATATATCTAATATATATATCTAAAACATGGAGACAAGGTTTTAGTAAAATTGTTTCATTCACGCTAAATCCTATGTTGCCATTCCTGATTCGATAGAGTAATTCTCTCAGTCACTTTGCTCTAAATATAAAGAAGTTTCACTGAGTATCCAGAAGACTAGAACCTCCAGCTCTGAGTTTTTTTTAAAAATAAAAATATTACTGAAAATTTCTTTACAAGGACATTAAAAAATGTTTTTATTACTTTCAAACTATTCCAAAAATAAAATTTACCTTAATCAAAATTTTAAGTAAGTTTTACTTTGTTTAATTTTTTTTTATACAGAAAATACATCTTCTTCTTCTTCCTTATCCCCAAAATTAGCAGGGCTAAACAATGTCCATGAAATTCACCACCCGGAGGAAGTCGGCCACCATAAGTGTGTTATTAAGAATGTCCCTTTTGTCCAGACCAAGACAGTCCCGGATATGTTGGGGGTAAGCCTGCATGTTGTGGCACCTGGGGCAGTTAGGGTAGATTTTAATACTACCCTCAAAAGAAAGGGACTTAAGGTGGCCGCTGATAAGCCTGGTAAGTGCAGTCTGGTCCTTGCGGTTGCACCGAATGTTGAGTGCACCTCCTGGACTGGTGCTCTGGTACCAGTGATGTTTGGGGGGTACGAGCCAGGAAGCGAGGTCTTCTTTTTTCTTTTTTGATGCCAGCTCCATGAAGGTGAGGGAATTTGGACTACATAGATTTAAGTATAAAATACTATTCAAATATATTCTAACGACTTGTGATTTATTCAGTTTTAATAAAAAAGGAATGAATAGCAATCATGGATGAAAAATTAAAAGGAAGAATGAAAAATAATAAAAAGAAAAGAATAATCATGCAAAATAAGCTTTTTAACACAGTGAAATAAATTTTAACTTTTATTGAGCACCTGGATAGTAATACTTTATTTTCATGCTTACAAACAGCAATTTTGATTAAACCTTCATGTTTTAACAACTGTTCAGTTATAGCTAGATAAAAATAATTTAAAGTGGTAAAGACTTTTCAAAAACTTTTTCTGTTAACAAATCAAAATAATTGATAATAGTTGGTCAATTTTCTGAAAGAAGTTAATTTACCAAAGTGAGATTTTTTTTTTAGGTTGTCATGAAGGAATTTTTTAAAAATCTAATTTAATTATACATTAGATTTTGTAAATTTTACAGAGATGAAAATTTTCAAAACAATAAACGTTTTTTAACAGTATTCTCTTGACACGCTTTATAAAGCCAGTCAAAATTGATTATTTTATTCTCTTTTGTTAGTAAAATTAGTGTGCTAAGTAATTCTAAGTGAATGCAAACCACACACATTAAATAGACAAAATTTCATAAATCAAAACTAAGAAGTTCTCAAATATTTCAAGAATTTTACAAAATCTACAAAAAAATTTAATCTATTTCACTTAAAAAAAAAAACTATTTCCTGACACACTACTTTCCTTGACTTTGTCAGGTATTCCAAATTGGAAGACGCACTGGATTTCAGTGATATAGCTGATGGCCAGTTACAAATATCAACCTTTAAAGGAATCAAAAGTATCCTCCTTACTAAATGGTCATGTTGGATGCTAAATATATTTAATAAAGTTTTCTTGTCATTATTTTAGAACGACACACACAGTTGACACACATCATAAAATTACAAATAATCTACTTAACAGTTACATATAGATTTTTTAAAAAAATTCTTTGGAATAATTATTATATTAAATACATTCATGAAATTGGTATGATAAAAGAAAATGTTTGCCCATTTGTTTAAAACCTAAAATTAATTTAGCAGATAAAAGTTAGAAGTTTTTATGGGAAACTACATAACAAATGTTTTGCTTTATAACTTTAAATACTAACCTCATCATAACCAAAGAGCCATAACCTGGGTGTCTGATAGTACTTGTCATATGTAATATTTAAATCATAGGTGCGTGTTGGCACTATTCCAGCTTCATTACTTGCTGCATTGTTAGTATCAGTTTCAGGATTTGTAGCAGTCGCCAAGTCCAATGTAGCCTAATTTAAAAAACAATATATATATATATTTATACATTAGATTTAGAAATGTTTCATAAACAAAAGTTATTTAGTTGAAATTTCCTAAATCTTAGTCATACAATATAGACCATCTATTACCAAGAACTTCTTTATTAGTAAAGTCAAGATGGCGTCAACGATGAATTAATCAGATTCAAAGTTAAGTACTTAGGTCAAGAGTAGGTAAGATATGGAAATAGGTTAAAATTTGTCATGCTTCATTAATGATTATGCAAATACTCACAAAGCCACAAACGAATGTTCTAAAAAAACATGCTATAAAGATTAAAAAAAAAAAAAACGTAACATTAAATATATTTTAATACGATGTTTAAATTATGGAAAAATATATTTATGGCATGTATATGACTGCCAACATGGATAGGAAAAAATCCAGAAGATTTTACGAAATAATATAAATTTCATGAAAATTGTTGCATAATGTACTAAATATTTTACACATAGGGAGTTTTTATAGTCATCAAAATAGAAAAAACTGCAATATTTTCCAGTTATAATTGACATTAAATGAACTTTAAATGTTATGTATTATGTTTACTGATAATTTTGAATAGTAATAGGCATTTAATTTACAGGGCTTCCACTCAATTTCAGAAAAAAAATTCCCCGACTATTCCAGGTGTATCAGGTAAATTTCAATGAAAATCCATACCATATTTATTTACACCACGGAATTTTTCATCAGAAAACTTTTGATTCTTTTATTTGTAATGCTAAGTATTAGATTTTCTGTGTAAAATAAATATCATAAAATGAGGATGAAAACATTTCAGTTTTACTTAAATGTGAAATTTTAACAATAAATAATTGTAATAGATTATTGTAATTAATAGATTATTGTAATTAATTATTTAAGTTGAATCTCAAACTGATGACAGACAATTTTAAGACTGGTTATTTTTCAGGTATAATGTAGGAATTTTCCAGGTTTTTGTAAGAAAATTGCAACTTCCTCTGACTTTTGGAGTTAAAATAAAATTCCCCGACAATTCTAGGATTTCCCTGTTCAAAAAACAAGTTAAAACAAACATTTTGTTAAAATAATAGTCAATTTTTTAAAAATGTTTTTTAAAGTTTGAGAAATCAATTAAATGAATCAATTAAAGTTGAGAAATCAATTAATTAGAGATCATAATAATTCAAATTTTGTAGTATACCTTTAGATACAAAACAATAAATTAAAAAAAAAAAAAAATTATCCACAAACCTTATCATTGTTTTCAATCATTCCACCTTGCATGAAATCATCCATATCCAGAGCTTCTTCATCATCATCTTCATCCTCATCACTATCAGCATCAGCAACAACTTTATTCATTAGATTTGGAGCAGTTACCTTAACACCAAGGAATAAAGTATGCTCAAAATGTTTTTAAATCAACATATCTTTAATAAATTATTTGAAGATGGAAATTTCAAAAACTAATTTCTTACATTAGGTTGAACAGTCATCTCTTGAACTTGATCTGCAAGCGCAGCAGCAGAGCTATCTGCAAGAAATAATGATACACATATAAATATTAATTAAATTATAGGATCAAAAATAAAAATAAATGCCCTAGAAAGAGTAACAGTTTAACTGTAACTTATACATTAGAAGGGAAGCCAAAGATTATAGAAACTAATTTATCAATTATACATAAAGTGGACTTTATATTAAAGGAATTGATTTTCATGACAAAGGATATAAAACTCATATATATTTGCTAAATAAAGGATTTCATTGATAGATTATGTAAAAACTATTAAATAATGAAAATTTTTTTATGATTTTCAAGTAATTACCAGAGTAGTGATGAGTATCAACCCAGCCTCCATCTTCATCTTCAGTTTCAAGAAGTTCCTCATGATGCTCAGCTAATTCTATTTCTTTACATCGTTTATAGCAAGGAACTGACGTACAGGAAAAAAAAAAAAAAGAAATAATCAATAATATTTATAGTCAAATGCATATTTTAATACACGCAAACATTTTTCAGTTTTAGATCATGAATATAAAATTATCTAAAGCACTATAAAACTATATCTATTAATATAAAACAATCTAAAGCACTATAAAACTATATCTATTAATATAAAACAATCTAAAATCAAAATCACAGAAAAAAAGTAAAAAAATAGTATTTAATGTTATAGCATAGTAATGCATACATTTAATGAAACACATATTTTAATACACACAGATAAGCATTTTTCAGTTTTACATTATATAAAACTATCTAAATGTTTATAAAGCCATTTCTAACAAAATAAAACTAACTAAAGCACTATAAAACCATTACTATCAATATCTATATACAAATTTAAGTATTACAGAAAACACAGAAAAAATTCAAAATAAGGAATAACATTTCCTGTCAATTACATATTTCAATGCACACATTTTTCAGTTTTATAAAATCAATATAAAACTATCTGCATTAATATAAAACTATTTAAAGCTCTGAAAAAATTATGAAATAAGAAATAACACATTTAATGTCAATTGCAAATCTTGATGTATAAATTAACAGAAATTTTTCATTTTTAAATTATTAATATTAAAGTAAATAGAAAAAATAAATTTAGATGTGAAATAACATCTATAAATAGAATTATATAACTACCTTAAGCAATTTGAGAGATCATTTACAAATATAGACAGAAGAGTATACTAAATTACTCACAACATATTTTCCCCATTAAAATAATTTAATATAAAAATGTACAGTGTTTGAAATGCGAATATCTTTTTACTCATTAGCTTAATTGTGAAAAAGGTTGTTTCATTATATATGTATAAGCTTTTTCTTCTGTAGTTTAGTTTGATAATAAAACTGATTAATTTTTGTAAACAAAATTGTTTTGCTGACTGACAAAATTTTTTAACTTAGATTGAGACTAACTTTCTTGAGACTCACATACAATTCTTAACATTACAAAATTTTCAAATAAAACTACTGCAAAATAAAATGCCTAAAATTTAATTAAAAAACTGGCATTGATAGGACATACTAAAGTCGTGTTACATACAAATAAAAATTATAAATTACTTAATGTAACACCATATAATGATAAAAATAAATTGAAAAGTTAAAATACAACAGTAAGTAGACAGTGTTAGTCATAAATTAACAAAGGTAATTAAAGGTTTACCATACCTTAAAATGGGTCTTAATGAGAAAAGGAAGAAAGACATTTAATACAATAACTTTTATTCACATGCAAAGCAATATTTATTATAATTCACATTAAAGATTCAAGAAAATATGGCAATAAACTACACTTTTTCAAACATGACATTTGTTTTTCTTCAAATTATTATTTACTATTATCTTCAGATAGGTACTTTATAATATTATACAGTTATATTATAATAGCACAATACACAGAGAAATCTTATTTCCTGTACGGAAATTAAGGTGTTTTTCCAAAAAAAAGAAAGAAAGAAAAAAAGAATTGAAATTATGATTTATTATTATATTGCTCAAAGCTACATTTTGAAATAATCTTAATGAAAAGTCATATATATGTTACTAAAACATATAATGTAAAACCATAATTTTTTAGTATTTAAAAATATATTTTATAATATTGAAACGCATACAATTGAACTAATGAAATTTTAAAATCATGCTAAATAGCTCAAGGAAATTAAACAGTTCTTGTCTTTTTTTTAATAGTCTGAATATTAAGCATTATCATTCTGTATATAACAGATTTTTATATTCATATCTTACGAGTAGGAAAAAAAATGAATGGTTATAAATAAGAGGAACTAATTTTGTGTGCAGAAAAATAACTATTTGAGGCTGTTAATTAATTGTAAAGTAACTATTGATAATTTTGCAGTGTAACACAATTACTTAATATTTATTGTTCTGTAAGAATAAGTATTCGTATATGTACTTATTTTTTTTAATCATAACTTTCATTTATTATATTACTTATGCAAAGGGTTTCTAGACATATTGTTTACTTCTACTGTTAAACATGTTTTTTCCAATTATGTGGTGGATAGAAGAAAATATTGATAAACTTACATAATATATATTTAGGATCGAGCTAAAAAAATTTAAAAGAATTTTAAAATATTTTACAATAAACAGTAATAGGTTTTGAATTTTTTTTTCTTTTTGAAAAAAAAAAAATTTAAATTTCTGTTGAGCAAAATTTCTATTCAATTAAATTTCTATTGAACACTTGTCTTTGTAAGATTAATAACAAGGGTTAAATAATTTTAAAAGAGGAAAGCTGTGGTGTTAAGATAAGAATATTAACCCTTAATTGCATTTATTGATACTCATTGCATTTATTGATTATTGATTTATTGATTACAATAAAGATAAAATCACTAAAAAATAGCCTGTAAAATACAAAGACTTAATTTTATAAAAAATTTTCAGCTGAATTATTCACTGCATAACAGTATAACAAAGTGGGAAAAAAAATTCATAAGAAAATAACAAAGTTAATTTAAGGTAAAAAGAGGAAACTTGTTTTACCATTTCTAGTAACAAGAAATTGCTTTTCAGGAGGGAGATATGGTTTCAAATTGGCTTCATCTCCTTTAGCCCATTGCCAAGTTGGATAATGATGAACTAGGTGGTCTCCTGCATATACAAACTATTAAAATAATAAGTGATTAGTTTAACAATATTGATTTAGTTCTGTATAAAATAATTTTGATTGTTTGTAGCTAGTTAAAATATCTCAGTAATAATCTCAGAATTACTATTATCAGAATATTACTATTAATTATTAAAAAAAATAATTATATTATTATTAATAAAAGGAAATCATTTATGACAGGAATACATTCAAGTAAACATTAGAGGTCATATCTGACAAATCACTGATTCTGAAAATTTTTCGTTCAAAAAAATCTCTACTTTATGAAAAATGATATGCAGATCTATGCAGTATAAGCCCATATAACAAGTATACTTCTTAAAATAAGAATCCTGATATAACTGTCATTACAGTAAAAAAAATTAAAAGTTAACCTTTTAATGCAGAATTTCTATTTAAATATATTTTTCATACTTTTTCATTAAATTGAATTAATTTAGGTCAAAATAAGTTAAAAATATTATAATTAGCATTTTAATGATTTATACTTATAAAATACAGCATGGGGCAGCTGTATTTTTTCCATATTAAAGCTAAAATCTTCAAATCACCACTCACTTCCAAAAGATAATTTTTCAAGTTTGCACTTAAAAAAATCTAAGAGAAATGTTTATTTATCATAGAAATTTCTTTAATTTACAAAATTAATCACTGATAAATGTTTTGAATGTATAGAAAAAAAAAATTTCCAAGCTACTTTTTTTAATTTTATATTTTAGTACAAATACAATTCCAATAATCTAACGAACTTTTTTTAGTAACTATAAGACTTATTTTTATAATTTGTAATTATTTTTATAATTAAAAAATACCAAAATATTTTTTGCTTGTATTTAGAGAGTCAGTAAAATTAAAAAAATGAACAACAGTGAATCTAATTTGATTTTGAGTACATACAGTTGTGCAAGTACAAACAGATAGTAAAATAAAGTTCTACATTTTGTTGGCATTTCATAAATAATTAGCACATATTTAACAATGCATATATTAGGATTCTGAGTAAAATAAATCATTCAGAAATATTTAAATTTTTTTTTAAGGCTTTAATTCAAGTCAAACAAAAGTGTTAGTGCTATTAACGTTCGCCCGATCAGTTAAAATAATTATTCCTTTACTGTCTCATCAAAAACAATTTATAATTATCAATGATAAAAATTATTTTACCTCATCTGGTGTCAAAACACCTGTTTCCTTAAATTTTGATTCCTAAAAAGTAAAATAATAAAATGATTAAAAATAGTCAAATTAATATAGGTGACAAGATAATTATGGTATGGTTAATTAACTTGGTAAGGTAAGGTTTTTAAATAATAAAAAGTATCTGTGATCTTATTAAAATTTTAATACAGCATAAAATTTAAATTTTAATATAGCTTTTTTTTTAAACGAGTAAAACTGTAGCATTATGGACATATAAATAAGTATTTTACCAGTGATGTACAGTGCAGGAAGAAAAAAAAAATCACTCTGAATATCTTTTGATCTAATGATAGAATTTTCACTTACTACAACTCAATCTTAAAGGCTCTAGTGGGTGACATCAAATATTCTAATTAATTAGGGACAGACAATATTTCAAGTTACAAAATCAGAAAAAAACAACAACTTTCTTTGAATAAACATACCCTTTTTTTGACGGCTTTAAATTACAGCGGCAGCTGCAATCTTTGAAATATGGTACCAATAATTTGTTAAGGAGAAGCATTCTAAAGTTTGAACTCTTAATGTTATTTTTACTCTTCGCATATCTTGGGAATTTTCTTAAGAGAATCCAACATTTTTAGTACAGAATTATAAAATTTGTTTATCCAATAATTAAATGCAAATTTTTTATAATTTTACTTTAATTATTTTGATTGTTTTATTAAAAAAAGAGTTGAAAAAATGTTGAATTGTAAGGTATAAAATTTTTTACATCATTGGAACTATTGGACCAATTTTGTTCATATTTTGTATTTTGCTCCCTAAAATTATATGCTTTAAAATAATGTAAAAATTTGTATACCCTAAGTTTCAAATTTTTTTCAACTATTATCATATAATATGATAAAAAAGAATAAATAGTAATTTAAATTTTCCTTGCATGAATTTATCTTTATATAAATGAATTTTATAATTGCGTGCAAAACTTTTTTGATTTGCTTTATAAATTTCCAACGCATGGTGAAATATGCAAAAAGTAAAATTAAGGGGCTAAAATTTGGTCTGCTCTTCTAACCAAACTATTCGGGCCTTATTTCTCAATTGCAGCTACCCCCTATATTTTTAAGGACAAAAATCCAAATTTGTCAAAAAAAAAGAAAAGAAAGAAAAAAAAAAGTTTGCTTATTCAGAGAAAATAAGTTTTTGTGCCTGATTTTGTAACTTATAATATCCTCTGCACTGATTAATCAGCATATTTGAGGTCCCACTTTGAACCATTAAGACTGAGTCCTAGTATGAGAAGATATGATTATTAGATCAAAAGTTACTCAGGCTGATTATTTTTTTTGGCTTACTGTGTATTGTTTAAAAGTTCTTTATTTGCCCAGCGAGTTTGACTTGGGGAATCATGAAAACATTCAGGTCCAGCAGACACGACTGGAATCCATGCAAGATACAAAAAAACAGGCAAATTCTTATAGGTCCGGTGTAGATACCAAAACTTCTAGACAAATAAGAAGCTTCAAAATCTAACAGGACCAATTAAACAAAATAATTTTTTTCAATAATCATATATGCATGATATACACCAAAATAAGAATGTCGTTTGAGAAAAAATTTAAATTTAATAGATAGAAAGTTGGTCAAGGAAAATTTAATAGATAGAAGGTTGGGCAGCTCTGAGTAAGGCTCATTGACCAAAGGTGTATTGTACCCTAACCTTAGACCATGACTATTGGAAAAGTTTTACAGCTGAAACAAAGTTCAGCAAACACCTGACAGGTATGTCCTGTAGTTCCCAGACCTTAACACAATGCTGTCCTCAATGCTCAAATCTTTAGGCAGAAAAGACCTCTCACTCACAAAGTAGTGAGAGAAGTCTCCTCTTTAAGATGCCAACCCTGCAAAGGGGATCAGGTGGAAGACTCATAATGTGGAGGTGTCTCCTGAGGGTGCAATAGCCAGTAGGAAGACCTATGATCTTCATCAAATTATTCCTTATAAGCCTAAGAAGCTCTTTTTGACGCACATCAGGACAGATTTAACTCCTTAGCTCGCGTCTGAACGTCCAAAATGCACCATTGCTCATAGGCAATCTTGCCATAAAGCTTGAAAATAGTGACCCAGAAGGATGCAGGAGTGATTCCTAAAGATGGTTCCGGGTCACAAAACGACGCACTGTAGACATTTGTGTGTGTTTAATAATTAAAATTGAGTTTTAAAAAAAATAATTAGTGATTTTCAAACAAATTTCTTCAAAATTAAGTGGTGACAGAAGGGCAGAAATTAGTTACAAGAGTCAACAAATTGCTTCCAGAAAGCTTTTCACTTTACCTAAATCTGCTGATAATTTTAAAGCTCCTTGAGCTATATGCTTGGATCTTTAGAGCAATTAAGATGAAAAATTACCACGATTAAAGATAAATGTGAAGATTGTGTTTGCATTTTTTTGTGATATAGAGAAGGCAATCAGCAAAGTTATAACCAAAAACTTAGGTCTATTTTAACAAAGGATCCTAAACAAAAATCTTAATAAAAGAAAAGTTATTGTCAAAAAATGACTGCAGACATTAGAAAAAAAATCAAAGATCTATTATGGGGGGAATACATGTTTAAATCAATCTAAACGTAAAAAAATCAATGAAAATTTTTAATTTGCATGAAATAATGGAAATAGCTTGTCCCTGATGTTTTTGAGCAAAGATTTCAGCTGTGATCTGAGGCAGAGTAATCGCCAAGTCTTGGCAACTTTCGGGCAGCGGCCACCAAGGAACTAAAAGAACATCATACAAAGGGACCAACTCATGGCCATCCCCATACAAAATCTCTACCCCTTTTTTTTTGCTTTTAAAAAAAATTTGCAAGTTTAAAATCTATTTGGCGCCTTGTCGGTTGTAGTTGACTTGAGGAGATTTCTGTATCATGATCTGTGGCAGAAAAATTGCCAAGTCTTGGCAACTACTGGGCATCAGGGAACTAAAAAAAAAAATCACAGAAAGGGACCAACTATATAATAAGGTATAACTCATGGCCACCCTCAGGCCAATATCTACATATTTTTTTAAAAAAAATGTACAAATTTAAAATCTATTTGGTACCTTGGCGATTGCAGTTGACGCTAGAGATCACAACATGGAAATATTCCCGCTTTAGATTATCCTCCAACTCCATAAAATATTTAACAAATATGCTTCCTAATTTTCTAGCCATTTTTATTAGACAATTTTTCCATATTATAATAGCATATTTGATTTAAAACATTTATTTTTCCAAATTATACAATTTTGGGCTGCTTATTATGTGCAAATGACTAAGTCAATTTGTACATAATTTTAAAATCGTAAGAGATTAACTTAAACAATCTATTTTTATAAGTAATTTCTCTTAAAGCTTACAATAGAAAAATCGAACGAATTTGATGCAATATAATGCGAATGAGGCAAATATTAGATACGATTTAACTAATTGCAATATCATTATGATAAGAAAATAATAATTGGAACGATTTATTAGCTTGTTTAAAAATTTCTTATTGCAATCTTTTTAAATAAAGAGATCCACAGAGATACTAAGTAAAGCGACGATACCTTCAGAATAGGAGTAAAAAATTCAGCTACATTCAAAGCTTTTCCTTTAACATTATTCACTAAACTTTGCATTTTTCAAGTTTTTATAGATTTCTTATAATTATAGGTGTCTAAAATTGGAAAGGTTGAACAATGATCGCGTGACACAACTGATATTGATAACAACAAAGTGGCATCTTGTCAATTTCTTTAAAATAAAATGATTCAAAGCGTTGTCGCCGTTTAGAATTTTTTGAGTTTTACTTCGTAAAAAATATTCCAGTTCTCAGTGACTTGAAGAAGACTAAGTTGAAAACAGTTAAGTCTGAATAAGTCTAAATCGTTGCATAAGTTTAAAAATATTACTTTAAGAACTTTAGTTTCATAGACGAAAAAATGTTGTTTACAAAAATTTCAAGAGATGAGTTGCAAGAGCTTTTCTTGAAATAATTATTGACGACTTTACGTGAAATGTAAATGAAATATTTATTTGCATATGCTATAATTTTATCGAAGCAGAAGTTTTATAGCATATTTAATAAAAAAACGTAAATAATGAAACAATTTTTGATTTTCTATCAATTATGCACTTCAACTTTTAATTGAAGTGGCTACCGCCTTCAAATTTCAAAACCCAATCAAAACGCTTGAATAAACTGCCACATTTTCGAATGCTTTATCTTGAAAAGAATTTTTAAATTGCTCATGTGTAAATTCTAAAGATAAATTTTAATTCATTTGAACTTGTAAGTAAATTACTCATCATCATTATTCTTTAAAATGCATATTTGCCTTATCTTACGCGCAAACATATAAGTTCGATAATTAAATTTACCCAACTGCTCCGCACAAAATTTTCGGTATTCTTTCCTCATTTGTATGAAAATTTGTAATTATTGTCTTATTTTTACCTTGTTTTATTCTTTTCCTTTGAATTTCGTTTTATCCAGACACAAGGTACTAATTGTTTCAATATCCAAATGATTATAAAGCAACGTTTAAATGACTTTAACAAAAAATTTTTGTTGAAAGTTTTTTTAGGGATTAACTACCTAAAATATTTATGTAATTCGCAGGTTTTTTTATTAAATTTCATCATCAAGAACTCTTAACTTGCTTTTCTGTAGTAAAAAAAAAAGATTTTTTTTTGGAATTTAAATGCACCTTTAATAGAATTTGTGTATTCATACAAAATTATACCTGCTTGATGAAATGTTTTTCTGGATAAATTTAATGTATGTAAAAGCAAAATAAGTTTTATGCACTTGAGGATTATATAAGTTTACAAATATTAAGAATGATTTTTATGTGTATATATGTAATTAGTTGTTGCATGTAGTAACTGTTAATCTCGTTATTAAGTGTTTTGTAAAAAATAGCCTTTTTAAAGAAATATAAATTAAAGAGAAAAAACTATCAAAAACAACCTATTTTTTGTGAGAGGTGATCTTACAAGAGGGTTAAATTTCAAGTTTGCCGACATTTCTAGTGAAATAATATAATAACTCTTAAAAGATTTATGGTATTTATTTCCAATAATTATGTTTCAAATTACTTTTATTTTTATTAAATATTCTACATCTTGTCACTGTGGAATGTGGGTGCTTTTATAGATATAACTAATTGGTCAAAATACAAATTACAATTTCATTGCTACCACTTATCATTTCGTGTTAATTTGATCAATATATTATCTCTTAAAATAAAATTTAGGTTTTGCCTCCTTTAGATAAACAGGGAAACATGATGTTTTTTTATTTGCATTACGTATAATATAAATTTTAATCTAGTAAAGATTTATTTAATAAATATTCAGACTAAAGTATGAAAGCTACTTTATGCCAAAAAATATTTTCATACATAGCCAAGTGTACAAGGCACCAGTGTTTTCCCTAAGTGGTCTGTCCTGCCTGCTCTTTGATTCCTGTAAATGCGTCCTCTTTGGCCTTTTAGTAAAAATAAGTCACCCATCTCTTAAAAACATTGCCTATTTATTCATATTCCATTTAAAAAAAATTAATTCCCTTTTAAAATAATTACACAGTGGTAAAATTATCTGTGGTTATAGGTTTAATTCTGATTACTATTACAAATATCTACTTTGTTGGGATTATTCTCTACTTGCTAACATTTTTAAGTATCTCTTCTCAGAGGGAGTTATTATTAGATTTTTTATTGGTTTTATTTTTTTAATAACTTTTTTATAAATGTTTATTTTCTCATAATTTTCAGTTTAAATTATCTATTGAGACCTATTAAGTTTATTAATTAATAATTTTTTTAGTTTACTTTTTTGAAAAAATTTGTGCTTAGCAATTATATATTAGCATGATGTTAATTATTTTATTAAAATAATTGCTATTGTTTATTACAAATGTTTCTCTACTACAAATGTTTCTCTTCTGATAATGAAAATAATTCTTTTTTAAATATGCTTATAAAATAGTATAAAAAGGTAATTTAAAAATTGTTGAAGATCAAATTCAGTTATTACCTCATTTTACTTCAGTTATTTCATGGTGTTGAAAAAGTGCCCTTTTTTTAAGAGGCAGCTCGCCTTGAATCCCCTTACCCCATTCCTAGGTAGAATTTAGAGGCACATTGGAATTTTTTCTCAGGAATATTTCTTTTTGTTCTGCTACCTAAAATCTGCTTTGTTAGTATCATTTTATAATTGATTAGTGAATCTTTTTAACAGATTTGTTCAGCATGTTGGGCAGATGTTTGTAGATTTACAAAACAGCTGATTATAATCTGTCTTGTGTTATAACGTTTTCACAGAGAATTAAGAGATTTAAGCGTATTGAATGATGTAGTCGAGATAATATTAGATGTGGATATTTCACATTGTGGTGATGATTGACTGTTTTCTGTTTATGCAGATGGGAGAAGAAAAGTAATGACATGTTGACTAATTTATTGGTTTTTTTTTATGTAATATTATCTATAGAAATCTAATTATTAATTTTTGGTTTTAGGATTGAATTTTGTGTGGAGTTTTTTTCCCCTGTAGAATAAATGTTTTAGTGGGTGTAATTTTGGGTTTTGTAAAGTGATTTTGAGTCAAAGTTGCATTTTACTTTGAGTTTGTTTGTTGGGTGTGGTTTTTTGAAGATTATTGATGATCTAGGCAATAATTGAAAGTTTTTATCAAGAAAAGATGTATAAATTTTATGTTTTTGTTAAAAGTAAATGTTTTTTAGCAGTGTATTTAGACTTTTATGAGGATAAAGGATGGTGAATCTTTTTTATTTTTTTAAAGTGTTTTGAAGATTTCTGTATTTAAAAGGAATTTACGATATGTCTTTTGTTGTTGTGCTAATTTTGTGTGTTTGTGATATTAAACATTCTTGGATTGTTCATTATCATCATCATTGGGCCAGACAGCCCAATGTGAGCCAATGCTTTCCTCTGAAGATTTCTCCATAACAACTTCAGATTTATCTTTGATCTCCAATTCTTTTCATTAATTGCAGGAAAATCAGATTCTACTGAATCAGCCCATCTCTACCGAGGCCTTCCCAGTTTTCTTGTTCCAGTGGGTGTAAAAAGCAATATCTTTTTTATTGTATTGCCATCACTCGAGCCAACCAATTCATTCTATTTATTTTATGTACTTAATAATATCATGTTGTTTAAAAAACTTTTACACTTCTCCAATTATTGTTTCCATTTACACCACCAGAATATCTTTTTCTTAAATACTGTGTTATAATTTTCCTCCATATTTATCATTGTCCAAACTTCAGATGCAAATGATATGTTAAGACTGACCCAACAAGAGTTTTGTGAATTAAGAACTTTGTTTTTCTAGAAAGAAACCTAGATTTAATAAATCTTCTCAACCCATAGACAGCCCTATTTGCCAGATACTCTAATTCTTATTTTGGTATGCTTGAAATTATGGAGTTGTTCTTTGCTTTATATATGTTATTTGTAATGAAAATTTTTTTTAGTTTTAATTTGTTTTTGCTAATGAAAAATCTCATTTCAGAATTTGTGAAATCATGGAATCTAGTATAATTTGTAAACTAAGAAGTGCCAAGTTCGCTTCGGTAATTTATTTTTGTTTAATAATTAACTTATTGTCAAGACTCTTCTTTTCTTTATTTTATGCTTTTTAATTTTAGGAAAATGTTAAACATATTTCTGTTAAAGATGCTTCAAAGCGGGCTGCTGATCCTTTGCCAGATAATGTTGGTAAAAAAAGAATACTGGGTGATATCACAAACAAGAATGTTTCGAATAAAAAAGTTGGATTTGGTAACAACAAAAAAGGAAAGAATAACTCTCATAGCTACATTGTGAGTGAAGTTGAAAAAATTAAAATCAAGGAAGAAACACCCAGTCAGGAAGAGAATAAAGAATCAGAACTGTCTGAGTCTTCAGAAAATACTATGTATGTAACTGCTTTGGAAGACAGGTATTTGTACGAATATTTTTATTCCAAAAGCAGGGGTCTGTCCAGGCCGAATTTACTAGGTATCTTCACAAATTCAACTTTAGGAAAAACGGTAGTTTCACAAATTCAATTTTAAGAGAAACGGTAGTTTCACAAAATACTTTTTCTTAAAATTTTATTTTTGTATCCCTTAAGAAGCGATAAATCCATATTTTTACCATATTTTTGTGTTTATTTTTAAATATAATTTTTAATTTTTCACAAATTATGTCTAAATTTTCACAAAATAGGTACCTCTCAGAAAAACCTAGACAGACCCCTGAAAAGTTCAAAGTAGCTAGATTAATAGATCTGATTAAAAGAAAAACGTTTGGAGAATTCTTGTTTGCTGAATCAAAATTAAATTACCATATGCAAGTTATTGCAAACAGAATATAATTTTTCCCTTTGGCTTTTTATAGCTATAAGAAAATTTATAAGATACATATTGTGATTTCAGATATAAAGTTAAATTTGTTTTTGAATTTTTAAGCGGAAATTTTTCATATAAAAACCTATTTTGACTTTGCCTTTGTCAGGTGCCATTTAATTTGATAGATCTTACATATTTAGCTTATTTAAGTAACAGATTTAGCTTGTACAGGTGATCAAGTTTTCTGCACGCTTGATAGTAAGTTAAAGGAAGTGCTAACAGTTGTTTTTGTTTCAACCTAATAGCTTACTAAGAAACTACAAGAGTTGCTAATTTTTGCATTACTAATAAGTTAAATGTATTTTTTTAAAAAATCTTTTTGTTATAAGACTTATGATTTATATGAACCACTTTCTTCTTTTAATGTTAAAATTTATGCTGCACAACAAATATTAAATACAGCATTTCGTAATTATTTCTTTTTTACATATACCTTTTTAAGGGAGATTTATGCAAAACCTAGTTTTTATCACATGTATCAAAATTTATAAAAAAATTGCTTTACTCTTGAATAAAAACATTTTCACCATTTTTTTAAATTTATTTTTCAGTGTTATAGACATTAGTCCATGTAAAGAAGAGAAGAAAGAAGAGCTTGTGAAAGAACCTTTGCCTCCTGGTGTGGAGGATTTTGATAAAGCTTGTCTAGATGATCCATTTAGTGTTCCTCAATATGTTGCTGATGTTTTTAAATACTATAAAGAAAGAGAAGTAAAGAACTATTAGTTATCTTTGTTATTTCACTTTATTGGGAATAGTTTCATTTTAAATATATTTGAAGTTGTTCATGTCCAAATTTCTAAAAATCTCTAAATTGTTTGAGTTTTGAAATTTTTGTTTAGATTGAATGTTGCAAAATTTCCTTAAGATTTTTAATAAAATTTTCAAAAAATTTTTTGTAAGTAAATAGGTTTAAATATGTTGATTCTTTATATAGGTTGCATTGTCCTTTAATATTAAATAATATCTTACTGAAGCTATACGTTTAGTACCCTGAAAAGTTTTCCTATATAATTTTTTATTTATTTATTTTTTCTTCTGTAATGTTGTTTTTTACAAATTACCCAAATTTTAGTTTGGAATATCTGTATCTGTGATTTGAAATTTCTGTAACTGGTTTTGAGTGTGTACTTAACTGTTCAACGCATACAATCTTAAAAAAATTAATTTCATGCTTTTGAGTTTAAAATATTAGATTGGGTCTTTTAAAATTTGTTATCTGATGTAATAAGATATCTTCAAAATGTTGCTCTTTAGTTTAAAATAATAAATCTATTCCTTTCAATTTTTTTTATTAATCCCGATCAGTTCTTCATTTAATCTTCAAATGTTGAACATTTATGAAATTAAAAGTTGTACTTTCTTATCTGCCTATCTATGTAATTATAAACTTCAATTTCTTGACAATTTTCAGTAATAAAAATGAAAATTTCTATTAGCTTCTGAACTCGTCTTTAATCAGGGTTCGTGTTTGTCCTTATATTCCTGATTTTCTTTATGAAAAATATTTTGTCCTGATATTTTTATTTTTGTATGTTTATTTTCTACAGATTACAAATTTGGATTTTATTATAGAATCATAAGATTTGGATTTTCTTTTTTCATCTTTTTTTTTTTTTTTTTTTTNTTTTTTTTTAATGCCATCTTTTTTTTAAAATTTTAATTAATGCCAATAAAAATCTAAAATATTTGTTACTTCAAACTTAGGGACTAATTTTATGTCATTGTAAACTGTAAATTAAATTTAATATTAAATTTTTACATAAAATACTTTATATTATACATAATATTCTGTCAACAAACAATTTATTTTATGAAATCTAATAAGTTTAAATTAAATGAATTAGTTTTTATTTTGATAATTTACTTTTTTCTTCGATTAAACGACTTCTTTAGGATTTTTTGTTTTTGTTTGTTTAGAATATTTGGATCAATGTATTTTATTACATTTTCCAACTTGCAGTATATTTTATCTTATACAAAATTTTTTTTATTCTTCAAGAAATAAATAAGTGAAGCATTACATCGTAGATAATTTTTATGTCCTACTAGTCTCACGTTTTTAAGACTTCATGCACTGAATTAGCAAAATATCTTGCTAGTAGGCATGTAACTGATATACATCTTTGAACTTCCTGTGATGAAATCTATATTTTATGTGTATATTAGGATTTTAGATGGGTTGTAAATTTAGCAAAATTCTGTAATACTTTATTTTGATACATTATCAAATAATTTTTGCCAGGTACCTTCTATTCAATGGCTTGGTTTTGTTAAAATTTATTACTTCAGAAAATTCTTGAATTTCGAATTCAAAATACTAAAAACAAAATGCTTTATCAAATATGCGTTATATTAATAGGCAATTATATTAAACTGATTGAAAATATCTTAAAAGAAATGGCTACAAAATATGTCATAAGATAATTGTTTACATAAAAAGAAATGTGTGGAAAATAAGTTAAAATATAAACGATACTGTGGTGTCAAAGGTAAAAGTGCCTCATGGTAATTTATATAAAAATCAAAATTGCTCTAATTCTACATATATTTGCAATCAGACCAGTCTTTATTTAATGTATTTCATTAATTATTTACTTCAGTTTTGGTGGGAATTTTCAGAAAAACCTGATTTTCTTAGAGTCAATGTGGCTAAATTTTCAAGTGATTTAGTCCTTCATTTAACAATCTTTAACTTAAAAGAAAATAAATGTATTAAGTTAAGACTTAATATTTTTAAATCTTCAACTTTTTATCCTAACAAATATTTATTTTGAATTTTTCGTCATCTGGTTAATCTTACTGTGAAAAGGCCAAAAAATAAGTCCAAAAGATATCTGAGCATATAAAAGCTTCATTCAGACATATATTTAGACTAATAAAATTTTTTAGATTTTTCCAACCCTTGTAATCAAATAAAATATATTGTTTTCTAAAAAATTATTTCAAATGGCAATTTTTCTTTCTTTCTAGACTAAATTTGTAATAAGTAACTACTTAGACAAACAGCGTGAGATGACAAAGTCTATGAGAGCTATTCTTGTTGATTGGATGGTTGAAGTGCAAGAGAGTTTTGAGTTGAATCATGAAACACTCTATTTGGCAGTTAAATTAGTCGATTATTACCTTATGCATCACTTTGTAGTCAAGACAAAATTGCAGTTAATTGGTGCTACAGCTCTTTTTATTGCTTCCAAGTATGATGTAAGTTTTTCAAAATATTTTTACGATTTTTATGTATTGTATTATATTTTTAACAAAAGTTGGTGAAATTATTAAAATGCTATGTGAAACTTATACTTTTTGGTAGACTAAACTAAGTTGGTAGTTGGCTAACTAAAGAATATTATCTCATTAAATTTTATGATTTTTAGGCTGGTAATTTCATAGGGTATTTCTTTTATATAAGCTAGTTAATATTGCTCTTTCTTGAAAATAGAATGCTGGTGTACAAAATGCTAAAAAGACTCATGGATTCCAACATTCTAAAAAGAGATCAGTCTAATTATTCCTTATTTTTTTATGTACTTTATCAGTTGTAAATTTTAACGTAACATTCATTACATCACTTTTGAAGTACTAGAGATCTCATCAGAGTTCGTGTTTTAAAAAAAAAAAAAAAATCAGATTTTTTTGATTTAAATCAGAATTTTTTTATTTTTATTCAAACACATTGTAAGAACTTTAGTTTATGATTAAAAATACTTTATATATGTTTAATCAAAATTAAATTAATGTGAAAGCAATATTATAACAATATTTTAGAAGCTCTAACTTACTAATATAATTTTTCATTATAATACATAGCTTTGAATGCATAGCAACCATTTTGAAACAAATGCATAATTGAAATTTGAAGACTAGTAGAGAATTTAATGAAAGTGGTCTGTCTAGGTTTTTCTGAGAGGTATTTAATTTGTGAAAGTTTAGACATAATTTGTGAAAATTAAAAATAACATTAAAAAATCAACACAAAAATATGGATTTATTTGTTTCTTACGAAACACAAAAATAAAATTAAAAAAAAAAAAAAGTATTCCTAAAGTTGAATTTGTGAACGTACCCTAAGCAGTAGCAAATTTGGCTTGGGCAGACTCTTTAACTTATTAAATTTAAGTTTCAATTAGCAAACCATAATTTTAATTTAAAATTGTGTTTTTTTTCTCTTGATTTTTAATATGACAAAATAAATGTAACAGATTGTGTTTATAAATGTAGTCACTCATCAATATTTTTATATTAAAATATTAATTTTTAATTCTATATCAAAATAGACCAGCTAAAATTTTTTTTTAAAAAATCTATCTCATCGGAATTTTTTTTAACAAAATTTTTTTATAGAAAATCTGATAATGTCAAAGATACTGTAAACATATTATGAGAAAAAATACCAGTTAATAACTCTACTGCCTCAAATAGACTTTGAAAGAGAAGAATGACACTATATCAGGAAATATCTGAATTCATTATCCTTTTTTTTTCGTTCTATTTTTGGCATATTAGGGTATAATTCTTTTTAATATAATCCCAAGCTTTAGAAATATACATTTTTCTTTAATAAAATATAATGGTGATTTTAATACCATGCTGTTTCAATCAAAAAGTGAAATTTTAATTAAGATTATTCACANAAATAACATTAAAAAATCAACACAAAAATGGATTTATTCGTTTCTTACGAAACACAAAAATAAAATTTAAAAAAAAAAGTATTCCTAAAGTTGAATTTGTGAACGTACCCTAAGCAGTAGCAAATTTGGCTTGGGCAGACTCTTTAACTTCCTAAATTTAAGTTTCAATTAGCAAACCATAATTTTAATTTAAAATTGTGTTTTTTTTCTCTTGATTTTTAATATGACAAAATAAATGTAACAGATTGTGTTTATAAATGTAGTCACTCATCAATATTTTTATATTAAAATATTAATTTTTAATTCTATATCAAAATAGACCAGCTAAAAAATTTTTTAAAAACTATGCACTCATTGGAATTTTTTTTAACAAAATTGCTTTATAGAAAATCTGATAATGTCAAAGATACTGTAAACATATTATGAGAAAAAATACCAGTTACCAGTTAATAACCAGGGGTCTGTCCAGGCCGAATTTACTACCGTTTAGCGGTACCTTCACAAATTCAACTTTAGGAAAAACGGTAGTTTCACAAATTCAATTTTGGAAAAACGGTAGTTTCACAAAATCCTTTTTCTTAAAATTTCATTTTTGTATCCCTTAAGAAACGATAAATCCATATTTTTGTGTTGATTTCTTAATATAATTTTTAATTTTTCACAAATTACGTCTAAATTTTCACAAAATAGGTACCTGTCAGAAAAACCTAGACAGACCCCTGATAACTCTACTGCCTCAAATAGACTTTGAAAGAGAAGAATGACACTATATCAGGAAATATCTGAATTCATTATCCTTTTTTTTTTCTTTCTATTTTTGGCATATTAGGGTATAATTCTTTTTAATATAATCCCAAGCTTTAGAAATATACATTTTTCTTTAATAAAATATAATGTTGATTTTAATACCACGATGTTTCAATCAAAAGGTGAAATTTTAATTAAGATTATTCACATTTTTTTTTCAAAATTCATGTCTATTAATTACTTTCTACAGCTATGCAAGTCTATATTAAGACAATATTAAATGCGTACTTTAATCTGCACTTTCAATCTCAAGAATCAAAAGATTTTTAAAAAATTTAATTTCAAATGTGTTGGAATTTAACACACACCAAGAAAGAAAGTAATTTCATTAACTAAAATTAACACAGCAATTTATTTAAAAGAAATTTTAAAACTAAGGAAAGAAAATAATAAAAGTATCAATAATTTAAAACATTGTTTGTTAACTTTTAAAATCAATATATATATTTAAAAAAAAATCAGTTGATTTAAATCAATGATTTTTTAAAAAAAAATCAGTTGATTTAAATCATGAGTTAAATCAAGCTGATTTAAATCAATGAACCCTGGATCTCATTCTAGATTTAAAGCACTTTTGCATAAAATAAAATAAAATTTATGCTTCAAAAAAAAATAAATAAAGGCCTAGTTTAGGTTTACAAATAAAAATTGGAAGTTTTGTCTCATTCAAAATTTTTTGCATTTTGTAAAAAAAATTAAATTTATTGTTTCTTTAACAGGTAAGGATTGCTTAATGAACTTAATATGGGTTTGCTAGAATGGTTCATAATTCTTGTTTTCTGTTTCAAAAGCGATTATGTTTCGTTCGTATGTTTAAACTGATTACTATAGGTTCTTAACTCATTCGGATTTTTGAATAGAAATATCATTATATTACCCTTCTTTTTTTGCACTTGCTCTTAGTTAAGGAAAATAAAAAATAAAATTTTTTTGTTGTTCTTTATTTTACTAATCTTTTATCTTGAATACAGCATTGAGAAAAGACTGCTTTTCTAATTCATGACAGAAGAATTAACACTAGAATAATTAAATACCTAAATAAATTTTGTTAAGATGCTAATGACATGTACTCTGCTCATTTTTCCTTACATTTGTAATAATATACTTATTCAATAGAAATGTCTTTATTTGATTTTTAAAGTGTATTTTTAGCTTGTAGTTGATGCCTTTCTTTTTAGTAGTTTCATATATTTAGTTTAAAAAAACATTACACTCAAATTTATCTGTAGGAGAGAGTACCACCTCTTGTTGATGACTTCTTGTATATATGTGGTGATAGTTATGATAGGGATGAGATGCTTGAGACTGAAATAAAAATTTTGAAAACTGTGGACTATGACTTGGGAATTCCACTATCATACAGATTTCTCCGTAGATATGCCAGGGTAAATAACCGTCCCTCAATTTTTTTTCTCTGTTATGTATTGTTATAAAATCTCACTCTCCCTGGATTTGTTTTAGTGTGATCGAATTCCTATGGATTTATTGACACTAGCTAGATATATTTTGGAAACTTCCCTGATGGATTACGATTGCATTGATGTATTAGATTCCAAAATTGCTGCAGCTGCTTTATTACTGGCTTTAAAGATGAAATCTCAACATTGGGTAATTGATAAATGTTCATCAAATACTTCATTGTTTTTATTTTTGAAACTTATATATTGTCTTTGTTTGTCTATGTTACTTTGTTTAATTTTTTTTAAATATTTTTCAACAATTACTAGCATTTTTGTTCTGCTGATTTTTACATAAAATCTTCAATACATATTTTTGCAGTTCTTAAACAATTTTTTAGTAAAACCATTTTAATAAAATGTATACAAGCTTACTCTTTTAATGACATCATTTATAGCAGTGGTTCTCAAAAGGTGTACTACAGAATTCTGGGGTTCTGTGGATAGGACACGGGTTCTGTGACTTTTTTTTAAATCTATGATGATTTGTAAAACTTGTAATAAGTTCGTATCAAACCAATAACTGGTTATTTATTTAATATTTAGGTTATTTTTATGAAATTAATCAGTTAAAATGCCAATAAAAAAGGGCAAATTTTAAAAGAATTTTTCCCCATATTATCCTGAATAAATCACAAAAAGTATATGCATTTACATTGGATTACATCAGTATTTTGCATAGTTTTAAAATTCAAAATAAAATATTTAAATTCAAGGATAAAGAATTATTTCTCTGCATTAATTATTCTAACAATTCTAACAGCTCAACCAAAACCTACTAGACTAAGAGCTGCTTCAGGTTTGCTATTTTAACGTTATAAGATAATAGAAAACTGTTTCAAAATTAAGTTGTAGTTTTTTTTCTCTTTTGGTTAGCATATTCGTTACCTGCTGATAAAATTTAAGTCTGGTTTCTGGCAAAGGAAGTTTGATCGTTTATAGTTCTGTAGTTCAAAAAAATGGGAAAGCACTGACAAAGTATAAATGGTAAAGCATTCGGAAGTCACCCAACAGCTCATCACTAGCACTTAGTTATTTTTTTTTTCTTATTTTGATTTATGTTCTTAATTTTATCTTCACCAGTCACATAACAAGTGGAAATAAGTAATAAATGAATGATAGTAGATTGGGGGGGAGATTCACAGAAATCTTGATAGAGTTTGGAAAAAGCTTAATGATAGTAAATTTGTATTTTTTTCAGTTTAATTGAAATCAGTAATTGTTTTTAGAGCTATTAATAAAACATATGTTAATTTTATATCTGTTAATAAGATTTCGATTTTCATATTGATTACAGACTCCCACACTTCAATATTATTCTGGATATTCAGAAGAAGAATTGATAGAAATTGTGATAATACTAAATAAGAGCATTTCTAATCCTCCACGAAAACTGCTTCAAACAATACGAACAAAGTACTCCCATCAGTAAGTTTGATTTTCACCTATTTTATTTTATATATATTTTGTAGAAAATAAAATTTAAATCAGTCTCATTGAACAATTAATAAGGATTATTTGTTGGAAAGTTAAGATTAGAAAGTTTTTAAAAAAAGTTTTTTTTTAGGATCTAGAAAAAGTTATTAGCTTTAATTTTTGTCTATTGATCTATATATATATATATAAATGATATCTTGTGGAATTTAGTTTCTGTTAATATCTGGGAGCAGCAATTTCATATATTACTCCAATATTAAAAACAAATTAATTTTATATAATATGCTATATTAAATTAGACATTGAGTTTAACACTCTTACTCTATGTGCAAATGTCAATGGAAAAAATTATAATATACTCATTGTTATATATATACTCATTTATATTTTATAACTATATAAACAAAATTATGTAATTGGTTTAATCCTGATAAAGTTCTATGATATCTTTTCTTATTCACAATGTTAAATGTTATACTTTTTAAAGTGAATAAAATCTCAAGGGTATGGTTTGTTTTTGGTTATTATTCAAAATGTAAAAGTATTTAACTAAAATATTTTAAGCTTTTTTTTAATTTTTTTTTTAAGTGAAACAAAAAAAAAACTACATCAGTTTTTTCTCAGTTAAATGTAATATTTTTCAACATAAAAAAATCAGATGTTTTTGATCATTAAAAAAAAATAGAAAATTTTCTTCAATATTAACGTTTTATGATATTTTCAAATAATATATTTTTGATATTTTCAAATACCTAATTATGAGTATTCACCTAAAAAACATAAGATATGCAATTTAGATTAAATTTTTGGTGGTAGCGTATAATTTGACGGCACAGTTACCTTTTAAAAATACTAGTAGGTAAATGCTTCACATTAATAGAATAGGAGGTATAATACTTATAATTAAAAGGGGGGAAATGGAAATTTTTTCGCAATTAGTTATCATTATGATATGCCGAAATTTATCTGCAGCTATGTACCGTCGAACTGTGAAAATTATTTTTTTCTTCGCTGAAATTTATTTAACTCTCAAGGAGAGCAGATTTTTCACGTTATTGATTTGTCAAAACTTTTGTCATCTTCAAAATCATCATTTTTTGTGAAAAATGGACTAAACCATTAGTCTTCCTTGGTCTTCAAATATGAGCAGCACAATCATGGTAACTAAAATGCTCACAAGATGTGGAAAATAGTTTCAAAGTTTGGGTCTAAACTGATGCCTTTTTCACCATATGATTTAATTATATTATTTATCATTACTTTTAAGTCTTAGAATCACCCCTTAAATGGTAGTGTTAAAAATTAGTCAAAAAGACAGTAAACAATTTAAGCCTGGGTTAATGTAGTGATGTTTGTAGTGTTTCTTAAATTATCTTAATGTGCAGACTCCACATACAAGTACTCTGTTTACATACTGTTGGTAGAATGTTATCTGTTGAGAGAATATTTGAAAACTTAACATTGTTAAAATGTAGGCGGTGTAATTATAATTTTTGTATGTTTTGGATGCTCGTATGTTAATTCAAGATGGCTACTAAAGTTATCTCAAAGGGATATGCTAACAGGAGGTAACTGCCATATGGGCTTAAATCACAGCATCTAAAACAATTTCTAACTTTTCCTAAATTGTTAATACTTTGATCCTTAATTCACTAGAGTTTGGACTTCGGATGTTTTCCAAAAGATTTTGTGGTTTGTTAGTCCTTTGGTGCAGATCTTCTGAAAAAAAAATTTTTTGCTAGAAGAATTTAAACAAAATGTATAGCATTAATATTTTGTTAACAAAAGTATTTTATGTCAGAAACAGAAGTTTTCTAAGATTGTTGTGAAATTATTATTATTTTTTTTTAAATCACACCTTGAGTGATCTAGTATAAATGAATAAACTGCTGCATCAGCACATCTCACCAGGATGACTAGAAAAAAGGAGGTAAAGATAATTCCTAAAACCACTTTTAACCTTTCCTCACACATTTACTTTGGTTTGTTTTGGAAATATAGCAAAAAGTTCCTTATTCCTGATGCATATTGATTGTTCTTCGTTAACCTTGTAGGTCTTTTTCTAATGTAGTAATGCTTTTAATTTTCTGAAACAATAGCTACATTATGTAGTTCTTGTTTATGTTATGTAGCTACATTTGTATTTATGTGTTGTAACATTTTTTTTGTTTCTTCTTAGGATATTCTTTGGAGTTGCCAAAATTCCTCCTTTATCTGCAGCAACCTTAGAATAAATGCTGTGAAAAATTTGCTCAAATACTCACTTCATAAATTTTAAAAAATAAAATAAAACATTTGTATATTTTCATTAGATGTGTAAATACATTTGAAAGAAGTCTAATAGTTGGACTAAATTTTGTATATTTGTTTGTATTTTTACATGATGTGTATTTTGTCTGTAATTTTCTTTTTAATGTAATCATGAAATTATAAATGGACCAATTCAGAACTATTTATTTTCAGGTGCAATTCTAAAATTGAAAGATGTTATGTTTTCTTGATTTGCATCTGACCAAAGTCAATTATGACTGGTTTAAATTTTACGAAATAAAATATTTAAATAATAGTTGACTTTTTTTACTTATTTTTTTAGCTTGCATTTTATTCATGGCAATAGTTTAATTAAAATTAATTAAGGATAATATTAGGGTTATTTAAACAGTACTAATCCATTTTTAAAATTTGTAGAATTCTATTATTGGCTCAGTGTATTACTTACACTTATAAATAAGTATAAGTAAGCAATCTTGCACTATTTTTCTTCGTTCATATACTCATTTCAAATGCAATTCTCTTATATTTGAAACCTATATTTATAGATCTAAATATAGTTTGAGCACTTTCATTAAATATTAAGTCTGAACTATTTTTATATACTATTAACTCCATTAATGTTAATAAGAAGAAAGACTATTGAAATTTTTTTTTACAATATGGATGCATTAGTGATATTTAACACATATTAATAGTAAAGCCTAGAGCAAACACAATCAATTTTTGTTTCTTCGGATGCTTGTTTCTAATTAGCCTTTAATGTTTTTAAATCCTAAATATGTTCCAGCCATCATAGTAAATTCTTCCCAGTATTCTAGTGCCACCTTGCTTGTTGAAAGGTAGCAGCTGTGTTCTCCCTAAGCCTCCTTCCTAGTCTCTAAAAAGCGGCTCACAGATAATATGTGCCCTGCTTGCTCTTTTCTTAAAAATAAGCCGCCGTCCCATAAAAACACTGCCTTATTTTTTCAGGAAAGGTTTTCTTAACCACCAATTTTCATGATAAGTCCACTTCTGATTGATTTTTTCTTGGCACTACAGCCTATGACAATCCAAGGCCATCCCAATAAGTTTTTTCCATCTTGATCTATTCTGTGCCATGGTCTTCCAGTTAGTTATTCTTATTATCTTTAGGGCTCCCTTAACTGCGTCCAGCCACCTAGTCAGTGGAAGACCCCTTTTTCTTGTATTGTTTCTTTGTGGAAGACCCCTTTTTCTTGTAGGTTGGTTACTTTTTTCTGGGGTTTTGGTCTTCAGATCTATAAAGGTCTCCCAGCCATTGAATACGATTGGCCTTAGTTTCATGAACTATGCCTGGTTGTTTATACTTTTTATATAACTCATGATTGTAAAGGGTGCACAATTTGTTATTCTCATAGACTGCTCCAAAAATTTTGAGTATCCCTCTCTCAAAAATCAGCAATTTGTTCTAATTTTTTTCTTCTTAATTAAGAGTCCAGCACTCACTACCATATAGGATCACAGACTGTAGGAGTGTTATGTATATGTTAGTTTCTGTCTTTTGTTTAAGAAATTTACGTTTTAGTTAGCTTCTTAAACCTAAACAGTGCTTTTTTGCCATTGCTAAATGGCTATCAATTTCAGTATTATGCAGGTTACAGTAGTCTTAAGATATTTAAATTCATCAACTGTTCAAATTCATAATCATTCACATGTAAGAGCATTGCCTTAGTGAGCCCTCTGTTTATATTTAGTTTTGTCAGCATTAATGGTTAGTCCCATTTCACTAGCTGCTACTTCAAGAGCTTTGAAGTTCTCCACTACTGATTGTCTAGATCGTCCTATAATATCAAGATCATCTGCATAAGCAAGAATTTGTGTAGATCTTTGAAAAATAGTGCCTCTTACACGGATTCCAGACGTTCTGATTACTTTTTCAAGTGCGATATTAAATAGAAGGCAGGCAAGCACATCTCCCTGCCTCAGGCCTCTATCAGTGTAGAAGGGCTCGAAGCGTTCGTTTTGCAACTTAACTCTGCACTTGACTCTTCTGAGTGTTGCCTTTGTCAAGTTATTAAGCTTCAGGGGAATACCAAATTCCTCCATTGCTTCATACAACTTATTTCTCTCGATACTGTCCTATGCTACCTTAAAGTCAATAAAAAGATGGAAAGTCCGATTTATTTAGTGACTGATAATTAATTTTTAAATTGATTCCTACATTTTTAATGAGACTTTATATTGTCTAGTTAGTTAAAATTGGCATGATATTCGGCCCCCTGAGATATTCACATCTTTTATTTGGGGGTGGGGATGAATGAATTTTCTAGTAATTTTAAATTTGCCATTATTTTATTAAATACCTTTTATTTTTAAAATTCAACTTTAAGTATTTATTTTCTCATAATTTTCAGTTTAAAATATAAAAAAAAACTTTAAAGTTGGTTATTAATCATATTTTTTTTGCTTATTTTTTCTGAAGAGAATTCCAGTGTTCTCCCCGAGTGTTTTTAGAAAGGATAAGGGTTAATCTGATAACTGAGTGCGTAGCATTTTTAAAAAGTGCTTATTTTCTATTTGATGTTTTTTAAAAGCCCTTAAAGGTGCTTTTTCATTGGGTGTTTTTAAAAAGAGCTTGATTTATCCTTTGCCCTGCTTGCCATGTATTATGCAGAAAGACACTGTTCATATTGTTCTATTCGACACTTTCGCAATTAATTCAAACGCAATCTATTTTGGCGTAATGTTGGTCCTTAGCGTATGAAAACGCCATTCATTTTATGATACAAAATTTCATGTTTTTTGACAATTGTCAAGAATTATGCCAATTTTTTTTTTTTGACATGACTGTTAAATCCGGATAAAACCGTCGATTATCAAAAACTTGCCAACCCTGCCTAATTATATTTTTTAAGTGTTTAAAAATATTTTTGAGTGCTTTGCTTAAAAGGTGCTTATTTCTTGTTGAAAAATTTAGCTGCGCACCCTGGATAAAATTATCCGTGTTTATGGGTTTAATTCTGATTACTATTACGAATATTTACTTTGTTAGGATTATTCTCAACTGGTTAAATTTCTCCTTTTTTTTCAGGGTTATATTATGGAATTTTTTGAGTGATTTTAAATTCTAAATTTTTTTTATTAAATAAATACCTTTTTTTTTTAAAAAAAAAAATGCATCTTTAAATGTTTTTTCATAATTTTCAGCTTAAATTATAGATTGAACCTTTCAAATGATTAGGTTTAATTAAAAAAAAAAATTAAGTTTATCAATTGAGCATTTTTTAGTTTACTTGAAAGAAAAAATTATGTTCAGACATTGTATTTTAGCATCCCCTTAATTATTTTTTTATAAACTAAATTTTTTCACTTGTTTTGATAATGTGTGAAAACTACTTTTTGAATTACTATATACTTAAAAAAAATATACGATAGTAATTTAAAAATTGTTGATTAAATTCAGTTATTACGCAATTTGATAAATTTTTACAGTGTTAAATGAAAGCTCCTTTCTGTGAAGAAGTGTCCTTTTTTATTTCCTGTAAGAACTCCGGTAACAGTTTTGTCGTGTTATTTTTCTTATCAGAAGTCTCGGATACTTTATTCAGTTTGATTTGATGATAGTGACAATGTGGTTATTTCAGAGGCGTCCTTTTTATTTATGAATTTTTGTGTGTTCAGATCATTCCATTTTCTAAGAACAAAGATGGATTTTATACTAGATTTATATTTTTGACCCAACCTTTTAATGAAGCTAGCAAAAGTTGCTAGATTCAAATTTTCTTAGGGCTCACCACGAATTATGCACAGAAGCATATGGTCTTATTTCTAGGATTCAGTGTTTCTAATAATTGTGGAATTTTATGAAAAAGAAACTTCACGATTTTACAATATCCAATGTTCGTAGTGATACATTCAAAAATTCATACTTATAAATAATGCAGTAACAAAACTTGAAAGGTGGACTTTTGTCGTTACACGATTATTAATTTCTTTCATCTTATTTTAAGAGTTTCTGATCTATAACCATATAAAATGATATTTTTAAACAGCTAATTGAGGAATCTAATAAATTACTTTTGAACAAAACTATTTAAGGAGTCAATTTTGTTATTGTAATGAGTTTATATTGAAACCTTGCTTTAAAAGTGTAAAATAAGCCTTATTCTTATACTCTATTGCAAATTAATGCTAGTATATACAAAGTTTTCATTTGTAATTTTCTTGAACAACACCATAACTCTTTGCATAGTTTTTTTATTTTTTCAAAATAAGTTGTCTGTCTTGGATAATCTTAATGCTCAGTTTTTGGTGCTTTAGAAGACAATAGGTAGAACTAGTGCTTCAAAAATATTGATTTCAGTCTTATTGCTAGTGTGTTGGTTTCTGTTCAATTTTTTTCTTTTCGTAATCTACGCAATAGAATGTAATTACCATTTAAAATATTTAGGTTGCATTATTTAAACCAAATGTTTAGCCACCAGTTAAGCACCACTTCATCTGTATATAAAATAATGTATATATAATAATTCATGTGTATATATAATTAATTTGCTTACAGTTTGGGACAGAACTTATCTAAATTGAAAAACTAACTTCTATTCAAAAGTGTTTGAGAGGCCACACTATCAGAAAAACATCTGTGATTGATGCAAACCTCACTTGTTAAGCAATCAGAACATAAATTTAAATTTACATAGCAACATCTCTTTCAAATGAGAAACAACCAAAAAAAATAATTATCAATAATACATACTAATCAAATATACTTTCGATTGTAATTTTTTCTACTAGATTTACAAAATACCTTTGATAGGTTTTACTGTAATTTGATTTGTAATAAAGTAACAATTCTGAAGCTATAAAACTAATGTCTGATTGGTATTCAATAGGTTATAACTTAAATTTAGTAACTTATAACAATAATAATATATAATTTTTTTATGAAAAAATTTATTTAAACAATATCTATACATAAAATTTTTTGATCATCTAGGTTTTAAAAACTTCCCTTGGATATAAACTCTTGGTACACAGGTGCCTTCTTTGTGGTTTACAGTTTCTCTAGAAACATATTTATTAGCAATCACTTCAAATCCAGCTTCAACCATTAATTTTCCCAAGTATTCTGAAAAAAAAAATTTTTTTTTTCAGGCTGTTCATTGAATTTTCTTAGACTATATTAAAAGTTAATGGACAATTTTAGTTATATTTCTCAAAAAATAGGTTAAAATACTCCAGAAAGTTCAGGTGAATGTGATTAATCATAAATTGTTAGTATTTTGGCCAATTTGAAGAATCCATATCCAATATAGTTTTATTAGATTCTTTATAAAAAGTTATTAAGGTATTAATTAAGATTGAAACTAGTGAATGTAAAAGTAAATAAATATTTTAGGAGGTTTTTAGTGTTAGCTGTTAAATTATTTTTGAGAATATTTGATAATTTTTTTGTTAAAAAAGAAAAAAAAAATCATACATGGCATTTTTTTAAAAAAGAATATTCAATGTTATCCAAATGTCTGCACCTTACCTTATCTGTGTTTTAATGAAAATATTATTAATTATTTTAAAAATGTAATTCATTACTTGCATTGTTTTTAAAAAGTGAAAATTGAAGAATTAGTGATTTTCTTAGACTTAATATTTTTTTTGAAAAATTTAATTCTTAATGGTAGATATGGATAGTTAATATTTAAAATTTTTTTAAACAATATACAATAGGGCATCTATTTCAGAAATTATTTAAAATTTTAGAAAATTATGAAATATATGTGCAATGACTATTATTTGATTGATTTTTGTTAAAGAAGTACTTATTTGAAAACAATTCAATGATGGCAACTAAATGACTGCTATTTGCATAAAACACAAAGGGATTTTTTTTTTTGAGCCATGCAAAGTGACTAAGAAAGTAAAGAAAAGCTGGTTAAAAAATTAAACAGGGGAAGGCATTCAATGAAACAAGTACTGGAAATTGATGCAGGATAACCTATTCTGTTCTGCCATATGTTATTGCGAAACAAGGAATATCCACTCAGTTTTGCATAATTTTTTCGAATCACTTGATAAACGTTAATTTTTTAGCTAGAAAATAAAGATTATTTCTTGTTCATATTCAAGACTTAAAATACACCAGTGAAGCAGAGTATTCAAAATTTTTTCACATAATAAAGAATAAACTGAAAACATTTTACGCTCAATGTATAAATAAAAATATAGCTGTTTACTAATCTATAAATAATTTTTCTAACCTTCAGAGAAGTAGAAAGCTCGAGTGCCATCTTGCCTTACATAAAAATTTTCACTTAACTTGTGACCAGGTTTAAATCTCAACATTGCTTGATCATACAATCCATAATCCCTAAATAACAGAATACCATTGGGTTTTAATACCTAAAGAGTAAAACTTGAGAATTAATAAATAAAAGGAGAAAAAAAAA